CGGGTTATTCTTCCGAAGCTCTACGGCACTAACCACGTACGTAGATGGTTTATCTCAAGGACTATTCATAGTGAGAAATAGATAAGTATATGCTGGAGGTAAGAAAACAAAATGGTAGCGAGTATTGAATCAAATCACTGGAAAGAGCCCACCAATATGCAAATTCAAAATGGCGGAAGGCGTGTTCTGGACTGGGGTCACCATTTGTTCGGGAGGGCCAGGGATGCTAGCCGGGAATCCATGACACGTAAGAGACGTGTCAAATACCGGACTGTATAGAAGTTAAAGGAGACTGAACACAAGGTGTATTGTGCAGGCTACAAAAATAGGAAGCGAATCAACCGGAGCGAGAAATGGTGCAACAAGTTATCCACCAACACAATTTGTGTCCACGGAAGTGTGGTCAGTAAAACAAGTGGACGTTTTGAAGGTTAAAACCACCGTAAACTCCAATGTTGCAAAATACTGAAAGAACGTGTTTTCCGGTACACTACAAGCTACTGTTTAGCTGTCGCAGCTCATCGAAATAATAATAGCACTACCGATGAGTGTAATGATAAGGATGATACTTACGTATTGATAGATAATATTTAAATGGTCAGGCGGAACAAGTGCAATTCAGAAATAGGAAAATATTGAAAGTGAGCAGCTAACCTCGTGGTCGCGCCATTTCTCATCCACGGGCATCCGATGTGATTGATTCCTTCTTTAGCTTCCGGATAACGAACATAGACCAAGAAGGCAAAACATTCATCAACAGAACAATGGAGTAATTGCTTATGACGAATATAAATGTTTAATCTCAATAACACTTACGGGACAGTCAGACACATAACCGGGTAGACCCAGTGTACCGGCCACCCGACGGAAGGACTTGAGGGAATTTCAAGGCACTGGTTCAACATGAACAACCATCGCGATGGCTTCAGTTGAGAAGAAGTTGGGTAGCGATCACACCGATTAAAGCCGTAAGTTTCGAAAGTCACCTGCAAGTCGATGAAGGATCGAGGATACAATCAGTGGGATTACACTGTGCATAGCAGCGCACTGATAGTGCCATAGCGCATAGTGGTGAAAGGTTTGCAAACAAATTTCATATCTCGGAGAACAAATGGGTAAGTGAATCGTCAACCCGAGCTACCAGTGTTCTAAAACATATTAAAGAATAATAATGTTATCATATTTTAAGCAGGCCCTGGACGCACCGGCGATAATAGATTCCATGACTTTGACGGCACTGGAAAGAAAGTGGTGGGGCAATATTTCGAATGTTCTTTCCTATGTCCACCTTTGTGGATTGAATTGATTAGTTGAAGTATCTAAACGGTAGGAATCTGGTTCGGATATAAACATCATTGAAAAAATGAACCGTTAGTTCAGTTACTTCCCGGTTACTGCTTCTATGGGTTTGGGGTAAATAGTGTCTCTTCTTAGAAAGCTGTGGTTGTGCAGCTATGTCAGCCTTCGCGACATACCTTCAAAGCTATAAGAGAAGCAGCCGATTTCTGATAGCTGGCAGGTGAAAGCGGGATGACCGTTCGACAACAATGGCTTTTGAAATATGGGGTCATATGGCATCTTCATGGCGTTGCCTATTTCTGTGACTGGTTGGACAATCAGACGCGCGAAATGCAGGGAATCCTTGTCACACCTTTCGGAAGTTATCAACGCGTTTATACAGCAGTTTACAGTAAGCATTGATGGTGCTGGTTACATCTCACTGCCGAAACACTTGGTCATCCCGGTGCAGTTGAATGCAGTGACCATGCTGTGTTACGTAGGCATCGTACATTTCAAGTTTTGGAGAGAACCCATGTGCTAGCCATGTCGCCGCGTTTCTAAACCCTCTTCTGGGTGAGATAAGCATGCGCACTGTAACGTTTCCTTTTTAACTTTGATACTGACGAAGAGATGGGGACTGCTTTCACTGAAGACGATTTGAAAAGTGTGGAGTTGCTTCCAGGTGACTGACGTCTGGACTTCTAAGATTTTGATGATATTGCCCTACTTAATGGTGTTTCATAAATGCACCAAACAGGTCTCCACAGATGTGTATTGTTTGTGTTTTCCCCCTCGAAATGCAAAGCGTTTTTCAAGGTTAACGGATCACTCGCCGAGCTGACTCTTGGTGGGAATCAGCCTGGAACCGTCCAGACATCTATATCAGATACTGTGGAATAGAAAAGCAGGTCATTTTTCTGATGTATACCGTCAATGGTGCCGACCCAACATCACCATGCTAGTGACAAGTTGAGTCTACAATGTTGCTGTCCGTTCAATTCGTCCGCACTGTCGTGAAACCGTGGCCATGGGACCGACAGGTGTTACTGGCTTACCGTGTTCGGCCACCGGTGCCTCCACAATTTAGTTAATACGTGGTAAGTATTCTGTATGATTACTGACCGCGCCCGCCGCCCAGTATTTGTTTTGAAAAGATCAAGTTTACTCCTCGACATCAGCCATGTGTTACGAATGCTTCACATCTACTTCCGCGTAGTGCGTTATTCACGTGACCGGGTCTGAATGGCGAAGGAAATGGAGAGGTCTGTCGATGACCCGGTGAAGAAGAATGCAGCGTTTCATTGCAAAATTGGTGTAGTTTGAGGTATCGCGACTTCAGGGTCGGGATCTCGAAAATGACCAACCAGCTCGGTTGCAGACATCAGTTGATATGACCATGAGTCCACCTCAGTCGCGTTTGTGTTATTAGTTTCTTTGTCCCGCCTCTCCTGTTTAGCTTCCCCTCAAGCGCAGTCTCACTCCTGATGCAGAATAAACAACACAGGATTGCAATGTATTTCCTCCTTTTACTGCCATGAAATCGAATTGTTGTTTCACATTAGCTGTGTTCTTTTTGCTTGCGTATGCTAATGAAGGATGATTTTGCCGTTTCCTGGACATTTGCCTTGACTTTAACAATAGGCACCCACTTGTACTCTGAAACCTCTCTGAGAGTAAAACCACTGACCCACAAGCTCGTGGAAAAGATAAATTTATTCCATATATATGGGCTTTCAAAGCAGTATTAAGGGAGCTGAAGGGTAAGGGGAGAAATTAATCACCTCTAGACCCAGTCAGCGGGCCACCCTACGCCCGGAAAAGCACGACAAGGCCTTTTCATCCTTTCGGGAATCATCGCAGTGCGCATTTATTTTGACGCTTGTAGGGCTTGAACCAGTAACTCGACAGTTGACAGTAAGTGATTAAGACCACTAAGCTACGGGGGTGGTGGGCAGCGACTATAAGTGGATAGTGAGTGGTGCTATATCACATCTAATAACTTATTCACGATGGTCGTTGCCGTCCCTTGTAGCTCAGTGGTCTCAACCACGCACTGGCAATAGTCGAGTTGCGGTTTCGAGCCCTACCAAGGGTCCGATGGAATGCGCACGGCTGACGATTCCCGAAAGGATGAAACGCGCGTACAGTGCTTTTCCGGGCGTGTGATGGTTGTCTGAGTGTGTATAGATGTGACGAATTTCTACTTATACCATTCAACTCTCCCTACTACTCTTCTGTTATGAGTACACAGACCAAACTGCTTAGCAGGTCATAAGTTAATTGACGGATTAAGTTTTGCTAGTTCGTCGCTTGGTGAAGGGGATACCCTGTCCTCTGCATGGTAGTAACGTGCAAGTCAGTGGTTGGTGAGTGGCGCTATATCACATCTAATAACCGTCCCGATGGTCGTTACCGTCGCCCGTAGCTCAGCGGTCTAAACCACAGATTGGCAACAGTCGAGTTACGGGTTCAAGCCATGCAAGGGTCTGATGGAATGCGCAATGCTGACGATTCCCAAACAAATGAAACCTTCTTGCAGAAAGGATATCATCTGTTTTCTCTTGTCACCATCAGAAAAACCCGGTAGATCACTCAGCGAAATTGCAGTGCACAGCCTTCTTTAGCTGCAATAAATCCTTTTCTGCTGTACGCTGCTTCTGCAAGCAGCCGAAAAGCGGAAAGTGTCAATTTGTTTCCAATGTCATCTGGTCCATAACTGCCACCTCTCAATTTACCTTTATTACCCATCTGGACTATCAAGGTCTTGTTTATTTTCACACCGAATCGTTTTGCTACACCAACGTCACTTTATTCAGTCGCAGGAATAATGGCGAGTGTGGACTGCGGACACCAAGGAACCGTGGTTTGAGACATTTTTGTTGAAGGAACATAACTGACAAAAGATTGTCGGAACTCTTCGCTTCATGCATTTGTACCGACTGACAGCTCTATTAGATATCTTCTATGTGAATTCGAACTTGCACTGTAACTGTTGCATGATCTCTTTCCTTAGCGATTTTTCAAATGTTACAAGCTCTTATGCAGCACTTGAAAAAAGGAGATGAAGAAACCTTGAGTTCTGATAAAATGACAACGTTACAGCGCTCTTCAAAGCATTCCACCTAACAGAAACATTATATTTGTCGGCAGAGTAACAAAGCGCGCTACACATAAATTCCCCGAGTGTTTACCGACTTTACTGCTTGCTCTGAGTCAAAGTGTGGTACAGTGTATGCTTTAAGAGCATATACATGTTGATAGACAAATCAGTTGAAGTCTTGTTGTTGTGTGCACACACAAACCAAATGTCTGCGATCGATTCTTGATGAGCCCCATCGATCTGCACATACACTAGTGATGATTCAGACTGTCGCATGGCATTGCGGTTATCTAACCTCATAGTCCCTGTCTCCTCGCTCTCTGCTGATGCTGGACATATCAGAGGAACGATCTGCCTAAGAGGTTACTATCTATGAGCGTTAGAGGTCCACCCACGCCCTACGCGTTGGTATGCACATACAAGTTTCGTTCATACACACCATCTTTCCACACCATGCACGTTCATAAGCGGAGCGCATACCGGCGTAACAACAGCAAGCCTATCAGTGAGCTTGAGTTGCCACGCATGCGGATTGTGTTACCGGGCTCAAACGATAAAGACAGTTTGACCACATCGGGCTCGGCGAGATTCACATTATTTACAGAAAACCGTCTTGAGAATGACAGCCGGAGCCCCGAATGTTTTGACACCATTCTTCAAGGAATTGGCCAAAAAAGAACTCGGAGAGACATCGGAGCACGTGCCGGCGCATTTAGTCAGTTTCAAGCGATGGCTTGCCACATCACCACACTTGAAGGTGCCGCAGAGTAAGTCATTCATCCATTGTGAAGTGCTCAGATCCCTTGTGTCCAAAGCAGTTGAATGCACCTACCCTCTGGTGGGCGGCCTGTGTTGTAGCATGCCATTGCGACTCCAAAGTTAGTAATCGTTTCTCTGGGAGCGTTTGGTTTTTGAGTTGACTAGAACAAAATAGACAGTACAAAAGCGCGCTTCAAGACTACTTCTAATGCTACTGACTTGCTTGTATTCCAAGCTGTTTGGCTGTGGTTTGACATGGACGCTACCTAGGAGTTATAATTCATAGAATTACGTAATAAACTGTTAACTGCTGAACAGAAGACAGCAATCTATACTTGTAATGCGTTAGCTTTCCCCAAAGTTGGCTAAATTATTAAAAGTTCATTAGTTCTATTGATATCGTCAAGGCATTCAGTTTATTTCGGATTTGCACCACTGCTTTGAGAAGGCAGGCTTTCTCACTGTGGTCTATGATTACCGCTCAGCTTTTATTCAAGGTTGCGATATGGAAATTCTGAACAGTGATAGGGTGCTATGTTTTACACTGAACCATTTCAGCTAGAATAGAGTGTTTGCACTGTACATCACAGATCAAGAGCGCCAACTGGACTAACAAACGGGAAAGAAAAGAAAGAAAGGCCTCAGCATTACACCGGTAAGCAGTACCGACACTACGCATCTGTGCAACCACCACCGGTCGCATGTGGGCTACGGATACCGCGAGGGCGACCGTGCCTCTACGCATACTCAAACCTGCAACGCCAGCTTACAGAACAAGCTCGTTCCCTTGAGGGTACTGGACGGAGGAAGTTTGTTTTTTGTTGGATATGCCGGAAAGAATGAAACAATGGTTTGGTAACGAGATAATAGATAAGTGCTCAATTAGTACTGTGAAATGCGTAGTGTGGTTATTCCAAAATCAAAGCATGTGTAGCAGCGAACTAGAACGAGCATCAATGAACGATGGTGTCATGGTTTATCTCGACTAAAGAGGCGTGTTTTATGCCATAGAGGACGATTTATTTTGGCGATTGAACCAAATTAAAAAGGGTAGTATGTGGGTTTATCCCAGTTAGTTTCATCGATGTGAAAAACAAAAGAGTTCACTTGTTGCACTGATTTCCTTGTCAATTCAATTTTCAGTTCAATTCAAGAAAGTGCTTTATGCACTTCGGCTGTTACACACACGCTTTCAGCATAGTAAAAGAAATAAAGCAGTAAAGAAACAACTAGAGTAATAAGTGACATAAACCACTGTATGGTTATGATGCAGTTATTCTTAATCTTCAAGACAAGCGATGTCTGGCCGCACAAAAACGTGTCAGATATGGAATAACGGATGAGTGGTAATCCCTTGGGTGGGCAAAAATGGACCTATCCTTTATCTGGTTGACGAAGTTGCTTGATAGTCAGATAATACACCATAAAGAGGGTGACTTGTATCAGTAAGTATTCTCGAAGCAAGACTTATGCATGAATTAATTTGCGTGAACACAAGAATATCAACAAAGGTAGGCTTGGGAATTCGGTCAGAGACTGCACTAAGTTGTTTCAGCATACGCCAGACAGTTCCTATTTTCCAGTATGGTATGGACATATAGGTGGTTTAGACGACGTACCCCAGTTTTGATAGAAATAGGAAACGATTTCACGGCAGCGTGGTCTTTCGTTTTGAACGCTTTCTGGTTAAGTCTACGTAAGCATTTTAGGTATGGAGATGAAAACCAACCCGCACGGATGAAAACGCTTTCAAGTGGACATCGGGTGTCAAAGCACAAGTTGATGTAGCTGGTTATCTGGGATATTATTACTATTAACATTCTTGACGGTAGACGGTTCATACTACGCAATTCCTAACTGGTGGTAAAAATGTGTGTTTCTTAAGTCACTTAGGATATTCGAGGTGGAGATTTAATTCGAAAGATAGACGTACCTTTATTCAAAGCGCGTGCCGGGGAAGAAGGGCAACGATGATATTGCATAAACTAGCCTCTTCATGGACTATCTGTTCATTCAATAAAAGCAGCATGGCCAAGTTACAGCACCTTGGACTCTCAGAAGACCTCAACGTAGATTGATCGTGTACTTCCATAGACAGGATGTTTCTAAACTGAGGAGACTCCTTCTTTGACTTATTTAAAAAAATCACAAGGAAATCCCCCCAACGCACATGGACATCGGCAAATAAGTGGAATCATGGGCAAGGACGATTAGGCTTGCTGCGTCCCATGATCGAATGCGTCAGGTTCATTTCCGGTCTTGTACCTCGCCTATTTACAAGAGTTATCCATTTACTCTGATAGGACACTTTTATCACCGTCAACTTACTAGGATAAAAAAACCCTACCCACCCCAACCAAATGCCCTTCGGATACCAGTACATGATTGTTTAACAGAGGTGGAGATGAAAGTGCAAAATAGCGGGCGAGATGGTTATAATTGAGTTTTCGTTTGTGCAAAGCAGACGCTCATCACCGTACATATCGCATAGACGCTGCCTAGTCAAACAATCTCCTGGTGGTGCAAGCTGCGTGGTTCAGGTGTAACACGTTAAAGCAAACGGTTCGGCGACAGTGTTCCAGAACGTAGTGCGTTTCCGCCTGGCAAGCGTTCTCGCTATAAAATGCCACAAATATCTGCTTAACAACCCCGTGACGTGGCGGTCGTGACTCGCCACCAAATAAAGTCACAGCCCCGTCGATATCCGGATAATCCTTTCCAATCCATGGACATCAATCTGCTACTCGCCTATTAACGACAATTTCAAACATTCAAGAATGTAGCAGCACAATTATGAGCACAAACTACACAGCTACATGGTTGGCTCCATCCGGTTTCGAATTTGCCTGTCACTGTGACCAGTCACAGGACGCCTGCGCCTACAGAGGGACCATGGATGGCTTGCGCTGCACCACCCACAGCTCCATCCACACACCCCATATCCAGTGTAAACCCGAAGGAATAAGACCGGGAGGCAGGCGGATGGGAACCACGTTTCATCAACGGAGCCGGCCCACACTCCTTCACAGGCAAACACAAGCACGCTGTATTTGGGGAATCAAGCGCACACAAGGCGGTGGCTGGACCGTAGTCCGCTCCACACTGAGTGCATGGAACCACTCTTCGAGCCTAGCACGGCCACAAGGACCGTGCACCCCGTCCCCTCCAGCAACGACCAACTGTCTCCTGGAGCCAGTATGGACGAGGTAGTGGGTAATAGACAGGTAGGCACCTTGTCAACATGCATATCAAGCGTAGCCACACCGGGGAGATCAAGCAACAGACAAGCACTTGAAACGACAAGAGGAAATAATATAAATCGAATGCATATAGATACGGTGACAACTCTTCACTTAATGAACGTATAAGAACAATTGATTACGAACGAATCCGAGATAACTTCATGAGGTCAGAAATATATTTTAAGGAAATGCCATAAACACGAAAGTGTTATCGAAATTAACCACAATTAGCTTCAGCGAGGTGTGCAAGTTCATAAAAGATAGTACAGCCAGACAATAATGTGAGAAAGAAAGTATGATGACAAAATTACAAACCCACCACCTGAAATGAAGAGATTTAGCATTCAAGCACGAGGTTAGTAAATCGAATGCAGCGTACCTACAAACACTGCGCCGGTTCTGCCTACGTTCTCTGCAGGACCCGTCGTCGCTTCGGTAATGGTCCCGAGTGGCCTCGCTCATGGCTCACTAGGCCTGCCTGACCCAGGCGCGCGCGACCGCATGTGCTACAGCACCATGCGCTTGATGTCGATGGAGTACAACGCATCGGCGCATGCCGCTTTCGCACTTGCCGCCTCTTCTCTGCATGTATGTGGTCTTTCACCCCCAATTCGGCAACTACTTTCGTGATCAGATCGCGCCATGCATGCCGATCAACCTCCTTCGATTTCCATGACCTGCAATCAAGATTAGAACGTGAGAGGCTCACTTTGATCATGTCCTGGTAACGTAACTTCGGTTTCCCCGCATGCCGCTTCCCCACACTAAGCTGACCATATAATAGTTGTTTCGGCATCCGCGTCGTGAATTTATTTAGTGACGAGTCACATCCGACACGTCACAGTGTTGTTAAACGGAAATATGTGGCTGTTATATTGAGAAGGCTTGCCAGGCGAATACCCACCACGTCCTGGATCACTGCCGCCGAACCATTCGCTGGAATGGTATAATCTCGAACCGCCCAGCTGGAACCACGAGGAGATTGTTCGGAAAGCCAGCCAGGTTAGTCATATCAGAAGGCGTTTGGTAAAGGACCTGATGCTCCGGTGTTATGATGACGATGTCATCCACGGAAATCTTAACTGCATTTGCAATTATTATCTGGGTAACTTTAGAAACTACAGGGAGCAGCTTCGCCCCGTGGCAATTCGCAACCACACTACAACTAAATTCCTCATAAATAGGATGGAGGGGAGCAAGCAGCACATTGCTGGCAGCCCGGAACAGTTGACCATGACGCAGGCCGAAGCTTATTGGCCAACCAATGAGAGCAGGCTAATGATGACGCTTCACCTTGTACGCGGCCATTAAGGATGGTCTACCTTGAAGCCCGCCAGTCGGCGCTAGGCCAATGCTTTATTAACTATCGTTTCGATGCCACTATTAGATTAGTTTACACTGCTTGCTGGGTGTTCACTACAGTTTTCGCGTGTGGCTCTTGTAGTCTGACCTGGAAGGTCGGTCGATCAGCATACGCGCTAGCAGCAGTATATGCATACCAAAAAATCGATTGTACATGCAGTCCGGTCATTGTCACCAGCCGAACGGGCTTACGGACAGAGAGACAAGGAGATTTTAGTAATAGTATTCGCAATAAAGAAATTTCACAAAATGTTGTATGAAAGTACGTTCACACCACTTGCTGACCACAAGCCGCTCTTAGCAATATTCGGTTCGAAATCTGGTATACCTGCCTATACTGTGAACATAATGCAGCGTTGGGCCACGTCTCTGCTCGATTAGGATTTTGTAGTAGAGTACACGGC